TCTATGTCGTACACAGCTCTGTATGGGTAGATGCGTTATGATCTGGGAACTATGATGCCCTCGTCTTGAAGTTTCTCAAAGATAGTTGGTGTTAGTCGGTATGCGCCACCCGGATACAAAAAGTTTGTTTCACCGCTACAATGTTTTTGATGTACATTACAATGTCCGAGATGTGCGAATTTCTTGTCGCATTTGTTACATTTCCAAGATTTGGCATACTGATTAAAATCTTTGATGTAGCTCAGATGGTTTGCGTATACATATAAGTTCAAATACATAGTTTCTTTATGCTTCATCACAGAGCGTCTAAATAGCTCTGCAAAAACCGATCCACTGTCATTGTCACTCTTCAAACTGTACATAAACATTCGTCTCAAACAGCGATTCCAATTCGTTTATATCTTTCAAAGTGACCCCTTTGAACTCATTTTCCGTCTTGCCCGAATATTCCAAATAAGCTTCATATAGCTCTCTTGAGGGCTTCTCTATGTCTCTGTGCCAATACCCTGTTATGTGCACGGCCAAACATCTAAAAAAGCACAGGTTATCTTTATGCGGCCCGTGCGATCCCCCTTGTAAACTGATAATGGTGTGACTGTTGAGAATGTAGTCTGGTAGCACATTAATAGGGCCAATCGGATGGTCTGAGAGTTTGTCCACGTAAAAAGTTACGTTTGTGATCATGTGAACAATCCATTTAGAGTCAGGGCGAGATTGTCTCGCTATTTCGAGTATGTCTATCTCGGTTATTGCTTGTAAGAATCTTTCTAGCCCTCGCATATCTTCAACCAATATTGGAGCTGTCAAGAATGCGTCGTTTCCGTCGTGGGGGTAGTAGTAGCGGAGGTTTCCTGATTGATTATTAAGGAGAATAAACCCAAAAGATAGATTTATTTTGAAAGCAGATCTTTGCTGTTCGAAAACGGCCCTCGCCATATCTTCGAGTTCGATGTTGCTGCTAAGCGGGAGGCGAAAATTGTACCGATCTCTGATTGCATTGCCTCTGTTGCAATGGGTTCTAATCTGCGACCACTTCTCTTTGTACAGTTGTGCAAAGGTTGGGTCGTTTTGCTCCTGTCCCGGAGTTAAAATTGGCTGATTCGGTGGGACTTCTTGCAAGACTGAATGCTGGTTGGGGGAGGACTCTCCGCTTGTTTTCTTGAAGTGCTAATCTCGCTACCAACTGACCTTCTAGTCGACAAGTCGAGTGGTTCGTTTTGTTCTGCATTAGCACTTCTAGATAAGTCAAGAGGTTCTTGTTGAAAGTCGTCTTGTAAGCCGCGATTTCTTGTAACCTGATCTTCGACAGAAGGTCTGCGCCGCGGTGCGTGTTGCGAGAAATTGTTCGATTTGTGGTGAACTTGATGACGTCTTAAGCTGTCTGTACGACTGAAAGAGGCCCCGCAAAGCCGGCATCGGTGCGCCTTGTGTTTATTACTATGGATGGTCCTAAAGTGTCTTTGTAGGTTAGACGGATTCGCCAACGATTTTCCACAAACATCACAGGTAAAAGCCATGACGCCGTGTACTTCAGCTGCAGAAACAAGACAAACCTACATCATAATCTCTCTCCACTCTATTTTCAGAGCGTTAAACTATCTACTCGCGCTTTGCAAACACAACGCACAACAAATAGCGGTACTGAGAGTTAATCCATTGTACAACGGTAAACACATTCTTTGTTTGTCATAACAACCTGTTTATACTACCATTGTATAGTGATAAACACGCCTTTTCTCCGAAAATTTGTTCACAAACACTCAGACAATAGAATGTAAGCTGTTTGTTTGTCATTCCTCGTTTGACAACAATAGGGTTCAAGTAACTTGTTCATTGTATAACCATTAACACACCTTTTGTTTGTAGCGAGGCTAGCACAATACGATTATGTACCTTCAAGTGCCATGTCCATCTTCTGACTGTGCTTCTGGAGCCGCTCCCACTGTTCAACGGATAGGTTGAGACATCTCCTACCTGGTAGCAGGTCGTCAAAGTCGTCTTCTAGACCTCTCCTGAATTCTGGCCGTCGCTTGAAAAATGTCCAAAGTGTAACAATAGCCACCCCTCTGGAAACGTGTACAATCGTGTACATTTGGTTTCCAATGTGATAACGGCAAGGTGAGAACAGAGTCACGTCGTGAGACATAGCAGCAGATGTACAGGCCACCAAAGCAGCGGAAATCCCAGTGATACTCCGGCTCAGAGTCCGCCATTGTTCTAAGGTAAGGAACAGCCCGCTCCTATTACTGCTTTTCAATTGACGAATGGGGCGCGATCTGTAGAATTCACGAACAGACAGTTCCAATTTCCCCCTGAAGTATCCAACCGTATACGTAGCATAGACGCTTCCGCCCAAGGCAAATCTGATTTCCGCGCCGTTCTTGTTCCTGTAGCTGTGAAGTTTCTCAGGGGTCTGCACAGGGTTAGCTGCCATCGCTCACCGAAGAGTTGTCAGAAGCGTGGTCACAGCAGTACATACGCAACTCTTTATAAGCAGCACAACATGACCCCAGGGCGTCCGCGTGACCTCTTCACAAAACCACGCCCACCGCTCAATGATCCACAGTCCACATAGTTCCACTTAGTCCACAGGTGGATTTGCGATGGATTCTGTCCATCCTATACTACTGACACTCCTCTGGACAATGGACAATGGATACTGCCTTGCCACTGATGATCTGCTTGGAGATTAAAAAAACTTACTGTTTGCCTTTTTTGTTTGTGGGTGAATTTCTCGTGTCCAGTTAACATTTACCCGAGTTAGTGAACGTTTCATGGTGAATTGAGCGATACTCCGCACTCCGAATTGAGTGTTTTAGCCGAAGTTATGAGTGTTTATTAACGTAGTTCAACCAAAGACTGGTCAGATTCATCAAATGTATTCGTCTTAAAAAAAAAAAAAAATTACACACGCTTTTTCAAAATTTATAAACTACCGTCCAAAAAGAACGTCAACTATATATTTTCATTTTCTGGAGATCCACATACACCTGCATCATTTCATTCGATTTCAAAATATGTCATTTCTTTTTTGAGCATTTGCAATTGCAAGTTGGGCAATGTATTTTATTAGCTGTCAACTTCAAACTTTTATGAACCTTTTTGTGCTAGATTTTTGTTTATTTTGGGTGTACTCTTTTAAAAAAGCTAATATACTTTTCTCAGGCAATATGTTCCAGCAAGAATGGAACCGTCACCCCGTATCCGTACAAAATTTTATTCGCTCTGTACATATCCGAAACATGGCTTTGAAATACCACATTCCTGAGAATCATATGGTTCTATTTCGCATCTTACCATCTACAATTATTTCATCCGGTATGCACATAGCCTAATATGATTTCTTATACTATATTACTTGGTGTTGCATCGTTGTACATGTATTTCAAATCTTTGAAAACTTTTATGATGGATGATTCTCTTATGACCATGCTGGACTAATCTGTGTCTTACAACAAGAAAATAGGACAAACAAATGTAGAAACAAAAAACAGTGATGAACAACGGTTAGCGATAAAAAAAAACTATATATCGTTACTGTATGATTAGTATTGATAATGTTCAAGTTTTCCAAGTGTTTTTATGAAATAGAGTTAAATTTCCATACCCTTTTCTTAGCAGTTCTTGGATCTCGTCTCTATTCTCATCAAACCAGTCCTTGTGGTGTCTGCATGTTGGTCCTACCAGAGCTGCACCATGGATGGTATTTCTGAGATTCTCCCGGCTGGTTTCTATGTTTTGGCCATCTAGTTAGACTGTCTTAAGGTTGTCTCTCTGCATGTTCACAAACTGTTGCTTTACTTCGACATTCTTCAATTGATTAGTGTTGAGTGGTCTCGGAAGTTTCATCCTTTGTGGGCGCCTCATGCTTGGGTTGGATGCAAACATTCAGCTTAGAGATTATTAGACGATGGTCAGTCCAGCAATCAGCACCACACATAGACTTGGTAATCCTGACATCTTGTCTATCTTTCTTCCTAACACTGATACAGTCAATCAGATGCCAGTGTTTAGATCTTGGATGCATCCAAGAAGTTTTGTTTTTGGTTGGGAGTTGGAAGATGGTATTGGTTATAATTAGTTCATGTTCAGCACATGTTTGGAGAAGTAAGAGACCGTTACTGTTACACTGACCTATTCCATGTTTACCAGTGACACCCTCCCAGGAAGTACTGTCTGTGCCCACTCTGGCATTGAAGTCGCCAAGTATGACAAGCTTGTCAGTTTTTGGGACAGCAGTAATTACGGTGTGGAAGTTTTCATAGAACTCATCTTTCACTACATCCGTGTTTATCATTGTTGGGGCATAGGCACTAACAACGGTGACATGCTTCTTTCCAGACAGTAGGGGAGGTTTCATCGTCATCAACCTGTCATTTACACCTTTTTGGAGTTCTGCTAGCTTGTCTACCAGCGTCACCTTCACTGTCAAACCAACTCCCGACTCACGTCGCTCTTCACTCCCTCTTCCACTCCAGAAGAAGGTGCAGACACAGCCAATTTTCGTACGTTACACACAGTATGGCACCTTATTAACATTTCATTGCTTTCAGTGACAACTAACCAAAGTATTTATGTTTAGTATAAAACTTATTGGTGCGTATTTTAACAAATTGGAAAATAACATTTAAGATTTAATATTAATGCCTATGCACTTAATATAACATTTGTTTATTGATTAATAATAACAATCTCAAGTAAGATGGCAGCGCCAAAGCAAGGAGGTTTAAACCTCCTTGGACAAAGGGTGCTGAATTGCCTACTTGCATAAAATTACACAATATAAAACTTACATTCACATTAGACCCATTCGACTTTCACGGATCGCATAAACTGCATACGTCACAGGGGGAACATTTCGAATATAAACTACGTCACAGGGGGGACATTTCGAAAGTTCCTTTCACGGATCGCATAAACTGCATACGTTACAGAACAAAATAACCTTAACGTTTTGTACGGAATGCCACCATACAAAGTTGGTGCCTGTTTTCCTGTCATTTCCGCATATATGACCGAGAAAAAAAGACACTTACCTACATTTTAGTAAAAAAAATGATCTGCCAGGGGGGACACAGCGAGCGCAAACCGCGTTCAACTTAGGCGTTCTAGAACGATGTTCTATCGAAATGTCCCCCCTGTGACGTAAGGAGTTTATGCGGTTCGTGAAAGTCGAATGGGTCTATTACAAGTGGATTTTAAAAGACATGTCTAACAAAAATTAACTGCACAGACTATAAATTGATGCAATAACAACAAAAATAAGGAAATGCTAACGGAAAAGAAGGTACATACTATAAATGATATAGTAATATCAATGTAGAAATGGTAATAAGACAATATGAAGGGTCTGGAGATGGGAGATGTTATAACGTTAACTTTAACCCCTCCTCTAGAAGGCATACGCTGCAGATGCACAGCATAGCACTTTCTTATCATGATATGACTAATGGGGACTTCTTCATACTGTAAACGTCGATATCCCTTGTGCACAAAATGACAGAAATTCACACGGCAAACTGAATAGGAAACACACAGCATGTCTGTACGTGTGCTCGTTGTAAAAACAGATGACTGTCATCGTTCTACCAAATACTACTCTGTCTTCATGTAGTATACAATAATCGGCATTTTCCAAAGTTGTCATGTACAAACAAACAACACCTCGATAGATGTGATAGTGGTCACCCATTGGAGATGTGATAGTAGTCACCAATTGAAGAGAGTACGCAAAGACGACCTACAAATTTAACAAGAATCATAAAAATTAGAAAATCGAGAGCTCCATGCAAATCGTATACGTTTGATAATATAATCGTACATGTACAAAAACAATATTCTAAGAATTGACACAAGAATTTACACAAAAGTAAACAGACTCAGACAAACAGACAAATTAATTACGCAATCAACCGGTATATCACAAAAATGCAATATGTAGATAAACTGCGTTGGTTTAGCAACCACCGAAGGAGACATTGTGATAAAAAGAAACCCTTTAGCAACAAAGCGACAAAATAGCACATAGGAGCACTGAACCAAAAGGGAGTTTTAGAAAATACAAGACAACACGAAGAGAATATTCGAAGAGCATATCGAAAATGGTGCAGGACCAACCTGCAAAAATTTGCTAGTGTTTAAATATGGTCGAAAATTCAGCCTTCCGGTGACACCCACTGTTTCAGCCATTTTGGACATCATTTTCTTAACAAAAACGAAGTATAAAATGAATAATTAACTAGTTGACACATCTAATTTCTAAGAACATAAAGTAAGAAAGGAACATGGTGGGTACGAAAGCGGAGTTGAGGAAGCAGTTCACAGTACGGATAAAATGCTTGAAGCCCGGAGCTAGACAGTGTTATGTGAGAGGAAGCCATGTGTAAACTATGCTGTGTGGTACAGAAACATGTCAGGTTTCAGACTGTATGATTCGGATGGCGATGGTTTTCCAGTTCATGTGTAAATGCACCGCATTACGCAACTGGCTGAGTCGGCTGAGCGGCTACAGTTCAGTTAACCTCCGTAGAGGGCGATTTCAACGTGTGCGTCACGAGCCGATACACAGACAGAATTTTTTTCAGATATTTTGTAGCTTGTATCTCATACTCAAACATATTCATTTTTCGAATTTGTGAAGTGCATCCTACTATAATTTCCACCGTGTCGAAGTGAGTCACTTCGGGGTCGTTAACAATAGAAATCCCCATAGGGCGGAAACTGTGGCCTGCTACCTTGAGCAATCACACCAGTTTTGTCTTCCCTTTCATTTTAAACTGTAGTTTAGTGACGAACTAACAAAACAAAAAATAGCCATGCATTCAACTTCAGTAGCTGTAAAATAACTTGTGTCTTTCAATAACTATCGTAGATTGAAACTCACCGCCACACGTAAAGAATCATTGAAAGATGATTGAAAGATGGTTATGATAAGCTTAGGTTGTTGTAACAGGTCTTTTCGAGTAATACAAAGGGCTGTATCCGCACCACATGGTGTATGCAGATATAGATATAAAACTAGAAAGGAAGACATTTGCTCGGGAGCAAATGTAGTATATAGCTTCGCCACATCAGCCAGAATCTGCTTGGGTGCAAATACAGTATTTCTGTCCATCTTCTTCCTCGTTCCAAAATGGATTGATTTATAGCAACATTTAAATGCCCCTATGTAGTCCCCAATACCGTCACAGTACTTTTAGTTAAGTATTCTCGAAACCCCCATACAATGCTTTTGAGGAAAATGTTCTCGACCCCCACCATACATTGCATTCAGTACCAAGTATTCAAAATGCCCCCACGTTGTATTTTTCAGTATTAAGTGGTTTCAAAACCCCCATGTAGCGCCCAAATCACCCATATAGTGTTTTTCAGTATTAAGTGTTTGATGACATTTGGTGGTTTCAAGGATGACCCCGTCATTAGTACAAATTTTCGCACTTTTCACAGGATTCGCGCCAAACTGTTTCTAAAAATTAACTACTCACGCCACCTTGTATCTGCTTTGAGATAGTATTGTCATTTAGCCCCAAAAGTTGAATCCATTTAACGAAATGGCAGTGGAAGTAGTAGAAAGACGAGGAAAACAATGTCTTTCATCCATAAACCGATTATATCAATACGATTATATCAATACTATAAACGAATTATGGCAGCAGCCAATCAGCAGTCTTGCAAAGAGAATGCTGCATGCCCATTGGCTAATCAATAAAATCTAAATAAATCCATTTCGAAAGACAGTATCCAAAAAAAAACTACAAAGCTCGGCACAAGCAGCACAAATGGATTGTTCCTAAATCACGCCTGTCTAAAATGTTAAGGTCTCGAACAGTCTATTATTACCCATGTAAAAATTGTATTGACAGTCCTTAAAAATAAAAAAAATAAAAGAAATGGGGAAAAAAGAAGAAAAAAAAGTAAAAGTTGAATTTATGTGGTGTTGGTGAAGCAACAAAAAAGGGTCAAGCTTAAAAAAATCACCAAAATTCCATTCCTCTGGACTTGAACTCACATCCCCCTGAACCATACGTACCTATCAGTCAGTGCCCTTATCAACTGGGCCATCACTGCAAAGTAAGCCAAAACACAATCACTCACAACAACTGGATAAAATTTTTTGCCCGCAAGACAACATTAGTTCCTGTACTCATAGTCAGACTACAGCAACTAATTAGCATTAACATTGTCTTTTTCCTATCACCTTTTCTTTCTCTTTGGACAGTCCAAATTGTCTATACTTTGTCTCCTATTGGATTCAATGGAAAATTGTCTTCCAACCTAATTCCTATTGGCTTGTCTGAAATTTGTCTTAAATTTATTATGCATATCAATCCACAGTTCGTGTATAAATTCTTGCAGTCTCTCCAAGTTCCTAAGTCATTGACAAAGAACTCTGGATTGAGTTCGAAACGTCTGACGCTTCAAAATTTTATTCAGTTGTTGTGAGTATTGTGTTTTGGCTATTATATTACCTGGATGTCTTACCTTCATCGAAGTAAGCCTTTCTATCTCTATAATAAATAATATATGCCTATTGGCTAATCAATAAAACCTAAATAAAACCAGTTAAACTAGAGAGGCCGACATTTGCTTGGGAGCAAATACAGCATATTTCAGTCCATCTCCCTCCCACGCAAAAGTGGACTATTCCAAACTTACCCCAGTGTAAAACTGGCAAAGATTCTCAAAAAAATGAATTATATAGTAGCTATGTAAGTGAGAACAAAGATGCAAGAACAAGCACATTGAATCTCGAAAGCTTTACTAATCTTATTACAGGTATGCAAATACTAACAATGATGAGATTTGATACATTTTGAAGGTCTTAGGCACATAAAATTGAATGTGTGGGTCATTACACACGACTTACGTGCAATGTGACCCCAGGTAACCCGCAATGGAACATGTGTTCCATGGCCAACGGCAGATGGAACAGGCCATTCTTTAGATAGAACATGGAACGGGTATAGCACTTTTGGCCCTTTTTTTTGCTGAAAAGAGCCATTAAAGTCACCCAAATGAGTCATTTGGAAGTGGTGTATGCCAAATATATGACTGCTATTCTGTAGACACATGTTCAAGGTACCCTTATACCGAATTTCAGATCATTTGGTTGTAAAACCAGGGCTCAGGATCCAAAAATCCATTTTTTTTTGCGAAAAATGCCCCAAAAAAACCTTCATAAAAATTTTTCAAAGGCATTTATAAAAAAAATGAAAAAAACGCCTGGGGGTATTGGCCCACTCTACCTCCATGCCAAATTTCAAGTCATTTGGCTGAATGATGGCGGAGTTGAATCCCTTTGACTGTTTGGCAGGAGAAGAAGAAACATGAGAGAACACAATATATTTCATCCATACCATGGTATGGACTGAAATATAAAAAAAGATTAAGAAAAGCACTTCAGAATTAGCCCACTCTATCTTCATACCAAATTTCAGGCCGTTTGGCTGAAAAATGACAGAGTTGAATCCATTTAAAGAAATGGCAGGAGAAGAAGAAGAAACATGAGTAAATACTACGTGGTGTGGCGAAGCTATAACAATGTAAGGTATCATACTTGCCCAAGACGTCCTTCCAAACAGCGGTTCAGTGACAAAATCAGCCATTTGATTCACCCTCCGAGCTAAAAAAAAAGATTTAAGTTTAAAAAAAAATAGATTTAAGTTGTCAAAAATACATTCCGAATGTAAATCTTAAATTCTAATTTACACATTGCGACGACTTTCCTTGTTGGTCTCTAGTCGTGCCTCTACCTCGTGGTAGTATTCCAGTGAGTTGATGCCAAGCCATAATTCTCAAATCTGCTTGTTTATTCCTCAGTCATCTCTCAGACGTCTTCAGTCTGGGAGAGGTCTCTCTTCAACTCTCGTGACGCTACGCATGCGTATTAGTACATATGTTAACTAGGCTGCTGAGTTAACTATTACCACATGTTACACACATCACCCACTTTTTACCTAATGGAAATGCTGTCATAACGCCTAACGTAGTGACGCCGTATCTTATATTACGATAGTATCTAATCTTTTTGGCAATGGACTAAAGGTGTTGTCAGTTACGATACGTTCCTAATAGTAAACATACAACAGCTGCCTTCCCCTTACCAGACTGATCAACTAGTCACTGAATATTGGGTAATTTCTGAAATAAAATGGAAACATTCAACTTGAGGTTTAAATCTCATAACAATGTTTCTAACAATGTTTCGTGTAAAACGGTTTTTCAGGGTCAGCTTAGTACAAAAGAAAACATGTAAAGAGAAAAATGAAAAGAAGCAGCTTGGATTTGGACCATGTACCAACTAATCAATCTGTTTTACAGGTTTGGTACACTTTGTCCCAATACAATGTCCAGGTGTACACCATAGCATGTCGTATCAAAATGCAGTTGTGGTTCAACCACACTTCGAATTTGTAACGTCAACTTGAGTGGGAATACTTTTATGGATTGAACTTTCCGATATAAACAAGGATACAGATACACACTATACCTGAACAGAAAACTCAATAAAATATCACATTTGACTGCTCAACAAACATGGCTATAATGGTTAAAGGGATTTGTTTATATAAAAAACGGTTATAAATCTAAGCACACTTTGTTGGATTCATCTCCATTACAATGCAAATAACCTGTAGCTAAATTAAATTAACTGAAATTTGGTCTTGGTGTTATTTTGGGTGTGCTTCCATATTCTGTGGTTGTACATGTAACTTGTACAAAGAACAAATTAAGCCAATCTACAAGAATTTTGAGAAAGAAAATGTTGAAGCGTGTCAGAAAACGTTTGAAGAAAGGACCTTCCCGACGACCACATCTGATTGTTAGACAAACACAGCTCTGATAGTTATTATACAATGAAGTTAACTGAAATCTGTTCAAAGCCAAATTTTACAAATGTTGGCATCTCTAAACACAATTTCTTCAACTCAGCTGAACTGCAATAAAACATTTCTTTTATGTCATGAGGCTGACTTCAATGTCAAAACTCGCTGTTAGTAGGCTGTTGTGCTCCTTGTAAATTGTGATTCTACTGTAAACTCATATTACATGCACACGTACACGCATAAGCCAATTACCTGATATCACATGCACACGTGCCAATCATTCGGCTCATCAACTCTTTCTCAGCTGGCATTTTTGACCAGTTTTTTGAATGCAAGCATCATATAGGTTTGACTATTTAGAATTTGTTTTTACAATACGTACATAGGTAGCATTAAGACAAAACGTAACAGGTAATCTAGCTGAGAGCAATTCCCAGACTTTATTGCATAACTGTCTCGGACTTACGATTCTTCAGCGGAATCTTTATCCTCGGTGATAGTGTGTTCCTGAGGAGAAAATGGAAATAGGCTATCGTTGAAGAGATTCATCAGTCACGTAGGTTCAATTCAGTAAGATAATTCTTTCAATCAGTGACTATAAAATCCTTAGGTACATACCTCCGAATTTTGGCTGGGAGCTGCCTAAGCCCTACATACCTCTACACCGCAAGGAGGCAGAGGGGGCAGAAGATCCACGCAAGTCTCGTCCTAGTCTCGTGTTTTCTCGCGAGACTAGGATCATTCCGTGACCAAGACGAACTGACTAGTCGTCGAAAATTATGTACCTAAGGATTTTATAGTCACTGATTGAAAGAATTATCTTACTGGAAATAGGTTATGTTTTAACTTTAAATTGGTGTCAATGGTTTTAATTAAAGCCAGTAATAATTAGGGCTATATAGGGTTTTAGCCCTTGTGCTCGGTGAGTTATAAAGCGTTAAACTTTCAAGTGTGTATTTTTAAACACGGAATACATACGATTCTTACTAATTTGGTGATGTCACGTGATTCAGGCACAGGTCGTATGTATTCCGCAAAATTCGTAAAAATTCCGTTAAATTTGTTTGTATTCCGTAGAATTCGTTATGAATTCTTTGGCACCCCTGTAGGTTTTTTTTTCTGATGCAAACCTTCCTTACCTAATTCTGAATCTATCATTGACCTAAACAAATATATCATGGGCCAAGCAATTTCTACCAGGGCTTCATTTAAACTCTATTTCAAAGGTAATTGTAGAATGACACGGCAATTAGCATAGATTGGCTCCTAGATACAGTTAAAAACCCTTATAATGTACTTCAGTGCGGAACCCAAACCAAACCCTGGGCCTTACCTCCCCTTCTGCTGAATATGTTAAATCCTACACATCATTTTGCAGACCATCTGCCTGTTTTATATCTCTTGTGGCTAACTAGATTAGTAACATGAATATGCAAGTTACATTGCGAACAACACCACCAATTGAATCCAGGATCACTGAACACTACTGGGGAGAGTTTTACAGCGAGGTTCGCGCAACCAACAAATGTTCAGCCTTCTATTCCACTCTTTGCGGTGCAATAGACAAGTACTTTCCATCAAAGATTGTCCGACTACATGAAAGAGACAAGCCATGGATGACGCCGGGTTTGAAAGCCATTATTCTGCTACGACAGAAGGCCTTTAGAGAACAGAACCTACCAGAAGTAAAACGACTTCGCCAGGCGGTTGTAGTCTGATGTATATATGGTGATCCCTGTAGCGCACTCGTGGCGCCACCTATTTCTCTCCGCAGCAGTTTCTTCTAGACGGTGGGGCTGCATACCGCACTTCTTGAAGTTTGTCTTCAAGTTGTCTTTATACCGCTTGTGCTGTACGCCGACAGAGGGACTGCCGTTGGTGAGTTCTCCGAACAGAATGTGTCTCAGGAGGCGGTTGCCTTGCATGCGGATGACGTGACCAGCCCATCTTAGCTGTCTCTGGACGAGCAGCGTTTCTAGCGGTTCCATGTGTGCTCTGCGGCGGATTTCGCCATGTGGGACCTTGTGCCACCACTTCAAGCCGAGTATTCTTTGGACACATCTCGTGTGGAATTGCTTGAGCGTGCGGATGTGTCGTCTGTATGTTGTCCAGGTCTCGCAGGCGTACAGTAAGATCGAAAGGCAGATTGCCCTATAGACCGCGACTTTTGTCTTGGTAGTGAGATCCTTGTTCAGAAATACCCTGTTGGCGAGCCTCCCAAAAGATGCGGAGGTGAGACCTATACGTCTCTGAACCTCATCAGAGATATCGCCCGAGGCGTTGAGCACGGAGCCGAGGTAGGTAAAAGTTGAGACGTTCTTGAGGGGCGTATCTTTGATGCGGAACGTAGCAGATTCAGACTCCTGATGGCCCTGGTCCATTGATTCCGTTTTGCCACAGTTTATGAGAAGCCCAGCTCATGTGTACGTGTCGTCTAGTATGTCTAAGTTGTTCTGTAGACCTGCAGTCGTGTGGCCAGTAATGGCTGCATCATCTGCGTACTGTAGCTCTAGGATCTCCTGATGTGTGACTCTTGTGTGGGCTTTCAGCCTGCGCAGGTTGAACAGGTTGCCGTCCAATCTGTATGTGATAGAGATGCAGTCCTTGTGGTTGATGCGCTTCTTAGCTGCTAGCATCACGGCGGCGAGGAACAAGTTGAAAATTACTAGAGCGATGACGCACCCTTGTCGGACACCTGTGCAGAATTGGAACGGGTCTGACTTACTTCCATTGCCTAGGACTCGGACCATGGCTCCTTCGTGCAGGGCTTTAAGTACTGTCAGGAACCTGTTGGGGCATCCAAATCTCTTGAGCACTTCCCACAGGAGTGGCCTGTTCACTGTGTCGAAGGCTTTTGTTAGGTCTATAAAGACCATGTAGAGATCTTGGTGCTGCTCCCTACATTTCTCCTGTACCTGTAGCTGTCTGAGTACGAAGATCATGTCGACTGTGCTGCAGTCCTTTCTGAACCCACATTGGCTCTCCGGGAGAACCTCTTCCGCAACAGCCTGAATGAGTCTCAGGAGCATGATCCTAGTTAGCACCTTGCCAGCGCTTGACAGGAGTGAAATGCCGCGGCTGTTGCTGCAGGTTGCCCTATCTTCTTTCTCCTTGTAGATGGTCTGCATCCTTCCATTGCTGTGGTACACAGCCTGAATTCCAGCAGGCAACTACAAAGGAGTGGAGACACTAACTTCCTCGCCACCGTGCCGGACGACTTCGCCATGTACCTCGTCCGGTCCCGCAGCCTTGCTGTTTTTAAGGGAGCCAAGTGCTGCTGTCACTTCTTCAATAGTGGGGAGGTTGTCTAAGCTATCCATATCCGGGAGCTTTGGGATGTCATCTAACACTCTTTCGTCGACTTCCGTGTGTCTGTTAAGGAGCTGTCTATAGTGTTCAGCTCAGCGGGCCAATATGGCAGATTTCTCAGTTATGAGGGTAGCACCATCTGCACTTCTGACGGAAAAGTGTGTGCCACGTCGCGGCCCGTATGCTGCCTTGAGAGCACTGTAAAATTGTTGATGATTGCCCTTGTCTGCGTAGCCCTGAATCTCGGAGGCAAGGTGGGTCCACCACTCGTTTTTCATTATCATTTAATACCTCGCGCTGTGTATAGGACCTGGCTTCGGCCAACCTGGCTCTGTTGGCTGGAGATGGGTTCCTGAGGACGACAGCGTGTTCCTTGTGTTGTTCTGTGAGAAGGGTGCGGATGTCTTCCCTTTGAAGACATCCGCTTGTACATGTTGAACAAACAGCATGCGACGCCCAGGCTGCTGCTGTTCCCACACCGGAAGACTGACGGAAGCCCGACAGCGTCTACACCAACTCAAAACGACATGAACTCAACAGCTTAAGTCTGAAACTTTGCAGACTCTCTGTGGAATGGTCTTGACCCCAGGTGTGACGAGATCCCTGTTATGTATTTTGGTTTGGGCCGGAAGACCCAGAGAGACTAGGAGAAAACTAGGTCAGGCAGTCGATCGGTAGGCACGGAGAGACTTGGATGTACAAGGAGTATAGTAGTTGAGAAGATTAAAGTTGGAAATACTACGGACGTCGTCCGTGATATTCTAGGCCATTTTCGTGACACCAAGAAAATGTACAAACACAAAAGAGCAAACATCATCAAGTCTACAACTCTGCCAAAAGCAGCTGAAATGATCGCGGTGACACCAGACACTAGTACTGAGCTTGTTATCACCCACGTAGGATCTAACGATTTAGACAATACGAAAGCTCGGCCCGACAGCGTGGACATTTGAGTGGAACAAACATTCAAAGTGATCAAATCTACAAAATCCTTCCCAAATGCCAGAATTGCATTGCCTCAGGTTTTATCTAGAGGAGTGAACACGACCTCCATGTTCAACAGAAACATAGCGTCACACAATGACGTCATTGAAAAGGCATGTGGTTCTGGACGAGAAACTCACATGCATCCGGCACAGGCTTCTGTCGGAGCACAGGACACTGTACAAACCTGACGGCATACACATCAGGCCTGATACAGGGGTCCGTCTGATGGTCGCTGACGTGAAGCGGACACTGCGGCACCAGGATTAAGCCACAGCACGCAGACAGCGCCGGAACCCTGGACAAGACACTAAACTAGTAAGGAGAACACAAATGCATGGCAGCGAGCTGCACAGTCAACTCGACCAGTGCCCTCCGTTCCCGTGGAACAACCCAGCACCCCGGCCGCCTCCTCAGTGGATCAGCAGGGACAGACAGGCAGGACCGACGTGGGTCGAGACACAAGACAAACGTCGCACGGTAGAGAAAATATTTTATTACGAACAGTTCTTTCAACACAACCAAGGAAATACAGAGCATCGACCTTTCGCCAGCTATCAGCGAGCTTTTTGTTTTGTTTGTTTCGCATAACCGGTAAACCGCCTTCAGGCGTAACACACCAGTTTTGTACATGTGCGCACATGTACAAGCTGCGTAAGACCGGACTGTAAGTTTTGAACCACTCACACCGGGAAGATCCCCTACTCTTTTCGATAAGTGCGGTGGGTTCTTTAACGTGCATGGGGTGTGGCTCTCCCAAACACGGGACCTCCATTTAACGTCCTATCCGAGGGACGTCCCTAACCGAAGCTAGGTACTCATTTTCACCTGAGTGAAGTGAGGAAAGTCGTGAAAAGTGCCTTTCCCAAGGGCACAAGATCGGTGACATGGGCAGGGTTCGAACCCACAACCTCTGGGGTGTGAGCCGAACGCGCTACCGACTGCGCCACACGACCCCAGCTTCGTCAGGATGTAATGACTGTTCCTTGTCGCATGATGGCGTTGCGACAAGTATGCGAAAACGTCGATGCTCTGTATTTCCTTGGTTGTGTTGAAAGAACTGTTCGTAATAAATTACTTTACCAACCTGATGAAGTTGTTTACGGGAAGAGAAAATAGTCAACATGCTGACAGACTTTATGAAGCAATGAACTTGAATTTAGAAAAACGGTCTACATGTACATTCAAGACAATAGGTATACAATTCTCATCTTACCTAAATAACATAGTTGATTTTAAGTTAATGCACGATATGCTTACGTATTCTTTTATTCATACTGCGACCGCCATTTTGGTTGAAATTCATGTATTGATTCACTCTGCTCACAATGTAGCCATGCTCACAAGTAGTTTTGTTTTAATTCACCGCTAGAATGCCAAATGGAAAGGTTGCTTTGAAATTTTGTTCTTGGAACTTCCAAGGC